GGAGCAAGTTACAGCTGTAAACAAACGCCTATGTTCATGACCAGTTCTATGAAGGCATATTTACTTTTTGACATGGCTGAGTCTTGTTTACACAATATCTGAATGTCCAGCTGTCAGTTTTGTCCGGAGGACACAGCGGAACACCGATCACTGCACGGGACCACTGTGTGAGGTCCCGATCATGTGGTCACTGATTGGCCAATCAGTGATCACATGAATAGTAGTAAGCAATGATGTCACTTCCTGACATCATTGTTTACTACATGTGAAATCTGTGAATGATCACAGAGGTCACATGGTACAAGACTATTCACAACAGCTTTGTGCCATGTGACAAGCTGTGACCAATCACAGCTCTCACAATATTCTCAATGGCTGCAAGAATGCAGTCAGAGAGAAGGAGAAATTATTGCTTTTATAGCCTTTATGGGTGTAAAAGCAATCAGTGTAAAAAAAAAAAAATCTTCATCACCCCACACAAGTAGTACAGTGTCACTAGGGTGACAGTATGTTAAAAAAAACATAAATAATAATATTAAAAAATAAAATAAAAATGTAGAAATACATTTTGAAAAATTATAATTTTTGGTTATAAACTAATTTGGGTTTTTGAACTTTCATTTATATAGTAAAAAAAAAAAAAAATCCCAGTGGTGAATAAATACCACCAAAATAAAGTTTTATCTGCCTCAAAAAAATGCTAAAAAATGCATATGGGTACAGTGTTGCAAGACCGCACAATTTTCATTCAAACTGATGCACGGAAAGCTGGACAGGAAGGGGGTAAAAGTATCCAGACTTGAAGTGGTTCATCATATGACCTATTGACACTTACTTGGTCTACATATCTCACTTGGCAGCAGAACTTGGATTTAAGGTTCCCTATCAGGCAATACTTGAAACACTTGAGACCCAAGTCACTGTTCTCCAATGAGTAGATAACAGAACAACACATGGCTCATCTCACAAACCTAAGACCCCAAAATAACCAACTATGAGTATTGCTGCATATCTCTCTTCACTGTGCCAGGAAAGAGTGGCAGCAACTGACACTAAATGGCCATTTGTCAGAACTGGTGCTCTTCCCTAGGTTAACCTTAGTGCGTAGCAGACCCCACGCCTCCTCATTGGGGTATCCACCCGCAACTGTCTGCTCTAACAGCTCAGTCCACACATAGGGTGCTCTGAGGCCCATTAGATGTAAGCCAATTCAGGGTATCTTCTGAACCCTTCCATCACCACACCTCACAAACAGTGCAATGAGGTATTCCTATATTCCAAGTTAGTCCCCCTTCAGATTTTTCAAATTATACATAGCATTTTTCCTAGTGCAGGCTCCTGCTCAGAGGGGATTCCACTAATAATTGCCTGTTCAACGCACACATAATGTCCTGTCAGGCCAATCAGAAGCAAGCTAGTACAGAGTTTGGGGTTCTTCTGAACCCTACCATCACCACACCTGCTCAGCCAGTCCTCCTTCCAATTACTTAGATTATACCTATCAAATTTTTCTAGTTTTGGTTATAAAATAATTTCAAAGATAAGACCACACTCCTGCTCAGAGGGGATCCCACCAGCAACTGCCCATTCATGCTTTGTGCTCACACATACTGTGCTGTTATGCCCATAACGAGCAAGCCAGCCAAGGATTTCAAGGATCTTCTGCACCCTCCCATCACCACGCCTTTTAGACAGTGTAAGTTATTCCACTATACCCCAGTAGTCCTCCTTCCAATTTTTACCGTATAATTTTTTATTTACTGCATGTTAGAAAATAAATGGAAAGATAATACCCCTACTGCTTGAGGGGATTCCACCAATGATAGTCTCTTCATGCTTTCTATCTACATATGGGGGCCAGTCAGAAGCTATAGGTCCAGACTTTAAGGTACATTATCTTCTGCATCCTTCCCATTGCCTCAACTGTTAGACTCTTTCCAATAACTCAAATTCTTCCTATCAATTTTTTCTAGTGCAGGTTAGAAAATAAATGAAAGGATAAGACATTTTCCCCCTCTTTTATAAATCAGGGCCATTAAAACCATTATAGCCGATTACAATAATGCCAAGCGTTCCTCAATGTAGTGGAAACATTTTCAGAAACGTTACAGGAGGTGAATACGATGAGATACATTTTCTTAATATGCTCGTATATTTCTTTAATGTCAGATAATAATGCAGGCGGAAGGGATGAGGCGAGTAAAGGTTGACAATATTACATCAAGTCTTGTTGGGTCTGGGACTTTATTAAGCTCTTAACTGTTATACATTGCGGGGACATTTTATTAATCACAGCTTCCACTGAGCCTGCATGACATGCATAAATCATGTACCAGGGGGGCATTGCAGAAGAGCAGAGGCTTCTGGGTAAGCAGAACTTCACATTCTAGTAGTGAAGCTACATCGTTGTCAACTGTCTCCAGAAATAGTCTCTAGTTTGTAGAACAGATCAATGGCACAATAATATTCCATTTTTATTTGATTTTAAGTTGTATTAATTTTAATCTATTTGTTGCCTTTTTTTGTTAAAGTTTATGTATAGCCAAAACATTTTTTTAAAGACTTGGGAAGGACTAGAAACCTGGTCAAGTTTTTATAGCTGTATGTGTCCCCACTAAGTAAATTTAATCTCTTCATTTGTCATGGTAACTATTGTAATCAAGACAGAAATTGATTGGAAATCCAACTTTTTCGAGTTATCACAAGAAAAGATGTGAGGGGAAAACTTCCAATGGAGACACCTGTTCTGGTGAAAGCTGTCTAAAAGGGGAATTCTCCTCACTATGTAGAGGCACCGTCACTCACTAAATTCGAGCCGGTGTGCGTTCCACAGGTTGGGTCCAACCCACCGGAAGTGATGTGCAGAAGTGACGACAGCGGCCAGGCCTTGATGCATTTTGTGGAATCGTGTCATCGGGAAGCTCCAGGAGCGCGGTGCGCAGTGTTTGTTATTCATCCCATGCTTTGCTTGAGTGCCTTGGGGAACACAATTATGTGAGTGCACTTTTAATCAATACTTTTCCATTTGTAATAAACTTATTACACTATGGAAGCAATCTTTTTTCTTTCTTGAGTACGTTTATGGTGGCATCCCATTTATTACAAGAGAGCAACCCCAAAGAGGCTGTGTTGACTTCTGACTGCTTTCCAGTATGATGGCATCACTTTGGTGATATATATTTTGCTCTCAATGGTGGGCATCTGGTAAGCTGCTGATCTTACCACACGTGGTGGAGGAATATTGGATCATCTTTAATCTTCACTGGTTTTGGGCACATGGCAGAGGAGAGTCATATTAATGTAATCACTGCATGGACTATCTCTTTTGAATGGACATTTTATTTATGTTATTCACTTAATTATGTTGTGAGATTAGACACATATTTTTAAATCATGTACTGTGGTTTTTTTGTAAGCACAATAATACTAGGAATAGCGCCCTTGGTTTGTTATTTGATTTTATAGAGTGTAATTACACTTTGAATGGCTGCTTCTCCCTGATAGTAGTTATATTAATTTGGGTTAGTGCCTCTTTGTGTTGTTTGTTGTTCCCTTTATAGCACAAATTAGGTTTGCAAAGGCATTTGGTCACACAATGTAGATTTATATCCTTGGAGGCTATTGAGAAATATATTTCAATGAAAACTTTTGTGCCTGGATTTTAAGTTTAAACCTTCTCTACTCTATCCAAAATGAAAAAAAAATTGGGCTGTAAAAACACTTTAAAATGTAATAAAAAGCAGCATGTAAAATATAAAAAAATGTATATTCTATCATTTCTTATGGAGCAATAATAGAGTGTAACTTGTTCCATTGTCTTCCGACACAGTACTGTGCATCGCCTAATTTTACAGGCCTGTTAGTACATTTTCCTAAACATGTAAGAGTGATGAAAAAACTAAAAGAATATAAATTCAAATATTAAAGGCCCCTCTTGTGTGCTCAGATATTTTATTTTGCTTTATACCTTGCTTTAAAATGACTTCTGAATTTTTATTATTTTGTTTCTTTATATGATACCATATCAACAATCTTCTGAAATTATGTAGGCAACGACTAGCATACTAAAAGGTATATCTCTGTATAAACTGTTTCTTTGCTATGGTTTCTGTGGGCTGCATTGTGCATGACTGGCAGGTAACAGTCAGTTTAGGGAGGTTGCAGCAACTCTCTTTTTACCACATTAGAAACAGCTATTAAATTAAATGTAAAGCCAAAACCTGTATGTTAGTTTTCCATAGGTGGGTATACTTAAGACTACTGTTCTGTTTTTTTTGGGCTCCCTGTCACTCTGGCCCCCTATCTGAAAGCCCAACCCCTTCTGACACCACAGTACACTTCTGGTCAGAGTAAACTCTCTCAATATTACCAGAAAATAGACTCACACACAAGTTAGAGTGAACTGGTACTTTGTTTATATTTGAATTGAAAATGAGAACAGTAAAGCAGCACAAAATTATAGGCATGTACATAATAACAGTTATCACTCTTAGTAACTTTAACCACTTGCCTACCAGGCACTTATACCCCCTTATTTACCAGGCCAATTTTCAGCTTTCAGCACTGCCGCACTTTGATTGACAATTGCTCGGTCATGCAACATTGTACCCATATGAAATTTTGATCATTTTTTTCTCACAAATAGAGATTTCTTTTGGTGGTATTTAATCGCCACTGGGCGCTTTACTTTTTGCGCTATAGATAAAAAAATTGCAAAAAATTTGAAAAAAAAAAAGTTTCTTTGTTTCTATTATAAAATTTTTCAAAGAGGTATTTTTTCTCCTTCACTGATGTGCGTTGATGAGGCAGCACTGATGGGCACTGATAGGCAGCACTAAAGGGCACTGATAGGCAGTACTAATGAGGTGGCACGGATAGGCGGCACTGATAGACAGCACTAATGAGGTGTCACGGATAGGCGGCACTAATATGCAGCACTGATAGGCGGCACTGATAGGTGACACTGATGATGGGTACTGATAGACGGCACTGACTGGCATCACTGCTGGGCATTGACTGGTGGCACTGACTGGCACAACCCCTGGGCACTGACTGGTGGCACTGACTGGCAGCACTGCTGGGCTGCACTGGTGGGTGGCACTGCTGGGCAGCACTGGTGGGTGGGCACAGGTGGGTGGCACTGGTGGGCACAGGTTAGTGGGCACAGGTGGGTGGCACTGCTGGGCACAGGTGGGTGGCACTGCTGGGCACAGGTAGGTGGCACTTCTGGGCACAGGTGTGTGAAACTGCAGAGTGGCACAGGTGGGTGCACTGCTGGGCACAGGTGGGTGCACTGCTGGGCACAGGTGGGTGATCTGCTGGGCACAGGTGGGCGGAGCTAGTGGGCGCACTGCTGGGCGGAACTTGCGGGTGGCACTGCTGGGCACCGATCATCAGGGCACTGATCATCAGTGCCCTGATGATCGGTGCCGATCCCCGCCCTGACAACTGCCGGTTCTCGGCAGTACTTTCCTCACGATCTGACAGTGTGAGGAAAGTGCAGCCGAGAACCGGCACTTGCATTTCCCTCTGATCAGCGTGTCATTGGACACCGCTGATCACGTGGTAAAAGGCCGCTGTGATTGGCCTTTTACCACATCACGTGATGAGCTGTGTCCGTAGGACACAGCGATCACGGAGATCGCCGGGTGCGAGCCCCCTGGGGCGCGCAGGAGAGCGCGTTCTGGGAGGACGTCATATGACGTCCACTCAGAACTGGCCGGCCGCAGTGCAGCAGTCATTCGGCTATATGCGGTCGGCAGCTAATTAAGCAAAGGTCAACACACATATAGCAAAAATCTCAGTCAATTCTGGATGTCCTGCAATTCAGAATTTAAACAAAGGCCTCAACTCTGAGATGTTTCTGTCTCCAGAAAGCAAAGGAAAACTATTATAGAGTAAGGCTAGCTCAGAAGCTGAAGACAAAGTTCAAGTCTGAGGTAAGGAAAGTACTTTTTAATTAGGAAGGCTAATGTCCCTTTAACTGCAGTCGAAGATCTTCTGCACTCTTGTTGGGGCCCAGTTGGTGCACTACAAGAATTCAGTTGTAACTGTTGGTTGTAACAGATGGAAATTCCTCTAAAGGATTTATGTAAGCATATCCCTTTAAGCGGTATTTTCCTTGGGCAATAAACCTTTAACCTCCCTGGCAGTATTCCCCAGTGTAACTCGGGGTAAAATTTCAGTACCAAGAACGGTAACCCCGAGCTACACTTGGGCTTACCATGCGGCGTTGCTCAGGGAGTCCCTGCAGCGCTTACCTTGTCCTTCGCTCCTGCAATGTGTCCCCTGCAGCGTCCCCGGCCATCTCCTCCGGCCGATGCCGGCATCCGGCTTCCGTGTTCCGGTACCTGTGACGTCGGGATGTACGGGCGCCGGAATCCGGCGGCAAATTTGAAATTTTTTAAAAATGTCATTTTTTAAAAAATGATTATTATATAGTAAAACATTGCTGTTTCAATGCATTTCACATACATTTTGTCCCTACTGCTTTGTCCTGTGCCCTGCCTACATTTTGACTGTTCTTTCTGCCTGGAAACTTAGAAAAGTCCAGGGTGTCCAAAAAGCGTCCCTTTATGTCAAAAGCGGTTTTAGAGCAGCTAGAGAACAGCGATAGTAAATTAGAACCACTTGCAGAATTGAGTGATAATGATTTGTGGAGAAATTTGTCATCAGACACTGAAAACGATTTTGCGACTTTGCTCAGCGATGTGCGAATTTGCCTCTGTATTTCAAATTTCAGTGTTTTTGGTTTGATTATATTATTGAATTAAATTTATTATTATTATATTATTATTTTTTATGATTATTAATTAAATTATAATTTATGATTTCGTGTTTAAAGTTTTATCATATCAGGAATGTTTACTAGACTCTTGTTCAGACAGATTTCAGTGAGTTATTCCTAAAAATTACAGCCTACAATAAAAAACTACAATTTCCATGCAAAAAAATGGTATCGCTTTCAGCACCAAAAATCGGAAATAATCATACCGCCAGGGAGGTTAATGCATAAGATGAGATGTAGGTTTAAAGCAAGAGGTTTAGGGGTGGGCAGAGGCAATTGTTGACAAGGAGTTAATTCTTCTCTAGGCTGCAGAAATAAATGGCAACAATGACAAGTGTCCCTTGATGGATGTAAACCAATTGCAGAGGGCGGACACTGCATTAGGCTCTGATGCCTGGATTATGCTGTAGATGTGTTTGCTAATAGGCTGGGTGAACTAGGCCTCAACTTGTGTAACTTGTGAACAATGTCAGTTACACTAGCTAGATAAAAATGGCTGATTCAATAAAATATCAGTGACAACTTAATTGGCTGGAGATTGGGACTCTTTCACCTGAACTGTGGCATCATCCCAGCCACTAGTGGTCTCACTGTAGATGGGGGCCCCCAGCGGTCCTGTGGTTCCTCCTGTTCATTAGTGGCTGCAGCACTCCAGGTCACTCGCTGACAGGGTACTTCAGATTCTTTGGCTATGTTATTGATCAGCCAGGGGCAGACTGACCATTGGGGAAGTCGGGCACTGCCTGAGGGCCCGGGTCAGTAGGGGGCCCCATGAGATGTCCCTGGTACATTTCATAGGCTTTTTTGGGTGTGATTTGAGTGTGGGCGAAGACACAGGGGCCCCATGATCCCCTATTGCCCGGGGTGCCCCATGAGATGTCAGTCCGCCTGTGTGGTCAGCTATTCCTCCCTCTTTCTCTGCTATCTCACTCTGCAGCCTGGTCCTGTCCTCCAGTGTTCCGCACAGCTTTCTCCTCACACCTTCCTGCCTGCTCTCTCCCAACTCACTTCCTGCCTGTTCCCGAGCTGCTACATTTATATGCCTCCACCCACATACCACCTCTTCTGGGAAACGTAGTCCCCTAATTCGCTGCCTTCTAACAAAGTCCTGCAGTTCAGCCTACAAAATCCATAAAGCTTTTCAGCAGAGTGTGAGCCACTGAGTTGCAGGACACTGCCACCTTGTGTCTCTTTTAACATCCTGCAGGCTGAACAAAAGATAAAACAAAAAGTAAGTAGGGCATCCCCTCTTAGTTGTTACCTAAATTGGTGTCCCCATTAGATTTCCTCTCACCTTCTTTTTCTATGCCAAATCTATATTTTTGATTTCCCATCAATTTTTGCACAGGAGACCAATTAACCAGGAAAAATGGTGAGGGAGAAACTCTCCAGAGGAAACATAGATACCTGAGGGTTTTTTAAACACTCTCTCACTCCAAAAGAAAAAAAGAAAAAAATTAGTTGGTGCTTCATACATTTTTTTATACTCATTTATATTTACTGTATTTCGCGCTCCATAAGATGCACCTGACCATAAGACGCTAATAGGTTTTAGAGGCGAAAAACAAGAAAAAAAATATTCTGAACCAATGGACTGCAGACATAGTACAGGAAATGACCAGAGACTGCGGACACAGTACAGGAAATGACCAGAGACTGCGGACACAGTACAGGGGATGACCAGAGACTGCGGACACAGTACAGGGGAGATGACCAGAGATGACCAGAGACTGCGGACACAGTACAGTACAGGAGATGACCAGAGACTGCGGACACAGTACAGGAGATGACCAGAGACTGCGGACACAGTACAGGAGATGACCAGAGACTGCGGACACAGTACAGGAGATGACCAGATGACACAGTACAGGAGATGCGGACACACAGTACAGAGAATGACCAGAGACTGTGGACATAGTACAGGGAAAAAACCAGGGACATAGTACAGATGACCAGAGACTGCGGACATAGTACAGGGAAAATACCAGGGACATATTACAGATGACCAGAGACTGCAGACAGTGCAGGGGATGACCAGAGACTGCAGACAGTAAAGGAGATGACCAGAGACTGCGGACCTTTGGGGAGGGAGGGGAAGGGGGAGGGGGTACCTGAATATGACAGGTACCCACTCCCACTTTCGCAGAGTTGTCCTTCCCTCTTCTTCCTGTGCCGGCTTTTGTGACCTGTCATGTGTCCTAGTAGACACCGGACCATTCACAAAGCGCAGCGCTTCTCGCACATGCGCACTGGGCACCCGGCTGTCACAGAAGCCAGCGCAGGAAGACTGTACAGTGCTGGAGCGAGGAACAGGTAAGGCCCTGCAGGAGAGAAGAGCTGAGCGGCCGGCCCGATATTCTGACATGGTGGCAGCAGAAATACCTGTCCGGCCACTTTATATTCGCTCCATAAGACGCACTGACATTTCCCCCCCTTTTTTGGAGGGGAAAAAAGTGTGTCTTATGGAGCAAAAAATACGGTATATGTTTTAGTAATGCAGGGTGGTGTGGTGACTCCCCCTTTGGGCAGGACCATAACATCATAGTATGTCCTCAGCAGGGCTTTGTTTTCAAAGAATAGGTGCAGGAACTCAACCATATACCCCCCCCATCCCCCATCGTGGGTGGAGAACGTGCTGCATTAAATGGTGGGTGTGGCTTAATATCACTAACAGTGGGAGGGTCTTAAAGGGACACTGTTAAATATCAGGGGTGCACTATATAGAGAGTGCAGAGTTTAGGAGCATGTTATATGCAGAGTGCAGAGTTCAGGAGCGGATTTGAGACAAAATCCCTGCAAATTAAGGGAATTCCTTGGGGACCTCAAGGTCACCAAAACTAGTGTCTCCATTGGAAGATTTCCCCTCTAATACTTTTCTGGAGACAACCCAAATTTTGGAATTTTCTTTTACTTTCACTTTCAATGATAAAGGTAAATAGGATAAATTGAGAGGGTGAATCTCCCCAATGGGACACAAAGAGCAATACAACCTGACGGGTGTTCTAATCCCTCTCCACTCTGTCCAAAACTAGAAAAAAGTTTTGACTGTAGTTATACTTTAAAGAGTATTGCTGCAAGGGATTTTTACAGTTTAGCTGAAAAAGACTAAAGTCCATCCAGGTCAACCATAAAAAAAGCTATAATCCTATACCCACAGTTGATCCAGAGGAAGGCAAAAACCCAGCAAAGCATGATCCAATGTGATCCAATGTGCTCCAGCAGGGGAAAAAATCCCTACCTGATCCCCCGAGAGGCATTTGGATATTCCCTGGATCAACTTTACGTAAATGTTAGTATCCAGTTATATTATGTGTATCTAGAAAAGAATCCAGGCCTTTTTTAAAGCAATCCACTGAGCTGGCCAGAGCCAGCTCTTGAGGAAATCTATTCCACATTTTTGTATTTGGAGATTAAATCTCTATTTCTCCAGATGTAAAGAGTCCTCTATGATGACCTCAGGGTGAATAACTCTACACTGAGTTCACTATATGAACCACTGATGTATTTATACATGTTCATCATATCCCCCCTTAATCTCCTCTTCTCAAGAGTTCCTTTAATCTTTGCTTATAGCTGAGCTCCTCCATGCCTGTTATCAGTTTGGTTGCCCTTCTCTGTACTTTCTCCAGTTCCCCACTTTTCTTTTAGGAATTGTGCCCAAAACTGAACTGCATATTCCAGATGAGGTCTTACTAATGCTTAGTACCGGGGTAATATGATATCTCTCTCTCTGGAG